GTATTATAAGAACATAAGGAGTCTGCAATAGGCCGGTTTGCCTGTACATGGCAGCTCCTGTCGAGAGTTACTACCACTCTCTATCATCCATGAATCTATCCAGCCTCCCTTTGAAACTTTCCAGCGTTCCAGCACTTAATACAAGGTTGCTAAGCTTGTTCCACTCGTCCACCACCCTATTTGTGAACCAGTTTCTTCCTATCTCCCTCCTAAACCTAAACTTATCCAACTTGAATCCGTTGCTCCGAGTCCTATCCTGCTCGGATATTATAAGAACTTTATCTGTATTACCTTTATTGATTCATTTCACCCACTTGAATACTTCTATCATATCTCCCCGCACTCTTCGTCTTTCTAGGGAGTGCAAGTTAAGTTTCTTTAATCTATCCTGATATGTTGTTCGCTAGTCGTACGTCTGGTAACGGAGAGGCAGATGTTAGTAAGGATTATAACAATGTTTACCGTAATAATGATAATAATAATAATAATAATAATAATAATAATAATAATATAACACCACCAACAACAACAACAATAATAATAATCATACTGTAATAATAATAATGATGGTAATGATCGGGTAAGAATATGTTATTAAAGATCTCACCTCAGTCATTTTCCTCACACAAACTTCTCACTTGAAAAACTTGGTCAGAAAATTACCAAAATTATGTCGACTTTCTCAAATTTTCTCAGATTTAGTAGAAGAAAATGGCGAGAGTGGGAGGTGAGGTTGAGGGAATAACAGGGAGAGTGGGAGGGAGGTTGGGGGAATAACAGGGAGAGTGGGAGGGAGGTTGAGGGAATAACAGGGAGAGTGGGAGGGAGGTTGAGGAGATAACAGGGAGAGTGGGAGGGAGGTTGAGGAATAACGGGGAGAGTGGGAGAGAGGTTGAGGAATAACAGGGGAGGAGTGGGAGGTTGAGAATAACAGGGAGAGTGGGAGGAGGTTGAGGGAATAACAGGGAGAGTGGGAGGGAGACTGAGGGAATAACAGGGAGAGTGGGAGGGAGGTTGAGGGAATAACAGGGAGAGTGGGAGGGAGGTTGAGGGAATAACAGGGAGAGTGGGAGGGAGGGTGAGGGAATAACAGGGAGAGTGGGAGGGAGGGTGAGGGAATAACAGGGAGAGTGGGAGGGAGATTGAGGAATAACAGGGAGAGTGGGAGAGGAGGTTGAGATAGCAGTGGGAGAGATTGAGGGAATAACAGGGGAGACTGGGAGGAGGTTGAAGGAATAACAGAGGGAGAGTGGGAGGAGACTGAGGAATAACAGGAGAGTGGGAGGGAGGTTGAGGAATAACAGGGAAGTGGGAGGAGGTTGAGGGAATAACAGAAGTGGGAGGGAGGTTGGGGAATAACAGGGAGAGTGGGAGGGAGGTTGAGGGAATAGCAGGGAGAGTGGAAGGGAGATTGAGGGAGTGTAAGAGAGACTGAAGGGGAGAGTGAGGGAGATTGACAGAGTAAGAGGGAGAGTGGGAGGGATGAACAGGTAAAGTGAGAGGGAAAGTTAAAAACAGTACCGGTTCAGCGACAGTACCGGTACATGAACCAACACTCCTTCCCCGGTCCAGCTCCTCATTTTCACGATAATCGACAATTTGGTTGAGTAACGAAGGTAATTATGTGGTAATTGAAGTAAGCTGATAAGGTAGGGTTAGGTTAGCTCATTACCTGTACCTTACCTCATTAACCTGATGAAGAACGTGTTGATCATTTTGTACGCGTGTTGATCTTTGTACACTTATTATCATGTAAACTCCTGTTTGTCGCTGGTAACCCCTATAATTTGCACACACTATATTTCACTCGCCATAAAATTCGCATAGTTTATTACTTACACACACACACACACACACACTCTCTCTGACCAGTTAGTGACTCGTGGTAAGTGGTAGTAAGTTACTAGCCATACCTTGCGCGTGTGAAACCTCACTAGGATTATGTAGTTCAGTTCGAAGGAGAATGACAAGACTAATCTGGGGCATCAGGAACGTTGAGTCCAGAGACAAGTTAAAGCATCTTAAATTGCACTCCCTCGAGAGACGTAGAGTGAGGAGCGATATGATCGCGGTGTATAAATTGAAGTCAGGGCTGAACAAAGGGGACATTACAAAGGTACTCAAACTATCCAACCGGGAGCGAACTCGTAGCAATGATTTTAAATTAGACAAATTTAGATTTAGGCGCGAAATAGGTAAACCCTAGTTTGGAAATAGATGAGTGGAACAAGTTACTAAAAATCATCATTAACTCGAATACGCTGGGTAGCTTCAAACATAGGTTGGATAGATATATGAGCAATAGGGGCTGGGTGTAAACGGGACTGCCCAGTATGGGTCAATAAACCCGCTGTAGTTTCCTCCATTCTTATGTTCTTAGGTAAGAAGTAAATGTTCAGTGGTAAAAAGTTTTGGCAAGTGGTAGAGGTAAGTGGTGGTGATAGAGTAAATGTTACTCTGAAGAAAAGTGTGAATTAATACATCGTTGTTGTTGTTGCAGGCTGTACCATGCACGGAGCAACAATGCAGCGGGTCGCTCATGATGGGAAGGAAGAGCGGCATTGAACCTCGCTCGGAGAATGAGGTGCTTAAGCTGGCCAAGGACTTCATCGACGAGTACTACCAATCCATCAAGAGGTAAGTACTCTGTGTGTGTGTGTCCTGGTTTGTCTCCCTGTAATATATCCAAGCTGTACGACAGTTTCTACGAGACTTGTTTTGGACAGCGTTTATCCTCTCGGCAACTACACTGCCAGCCGCACTACCAGAGATTCTCAAAGGATCGTACAATAACGTATCTAATTTAACCTACAGCACAAATATAATGCATAAAATGGCGCCTTGTTTGTCCAGCGACTAGACCGAGAGTTTAATTAATGTTTTCTTATCCCTAATTAGAGGTCAGGTGGGGGTCAAGGCAACTTGCTAAAATTGGGCATGACTTTAGAGGTCACAATCTCGTTAGAACGCCCATTGTAACCTAACCTACCCTATCCTACCAAGAGAGAGAGAGAGAGAGAGAGAAAGAGAAAGAGAAAGAGAGAGAGAGAGAGAGAGAGAGAGAGAGAGAGAGACAACATAAGTATTCACAGAGGCAGACCGACGGGGCTGAGAGATGATTAATGGCCCAATATATAATCATTCTGGAGGCGTGAGGCCGTAAGAGTGAGCCTCTCCCCTCGAGAGACTCCAAGGGAGGGGTGGGATCATGGGGGAGAAGAGGGGTGGGGTGTGGAGGAGGTAGGGGGGGTAGGTAGGAATGGGTGTTAAGGGGTAGGGAGAAGCAAAAGAAGGAGGGGGAGGAGAAGGAGTTTAAGGCCAGGGGGATGTCCCATTAAAGATAACTCGTATTAAAGGTGTGTGTGTGTGTGTGTGTGTGTGTGTGTGTGTGTGTGTTATAACGCCGTCACTGGTAATATATTATACCAGTAGTATATCTCATAATATAACGCACAATATATCACATTAAATTACCTACGAAGATGATGATGATGAAAAATTACTTCAAAGGTCGGCGATTTTTTTTTTAATTAACAAAAGGAGTTAATTAAGTTAATAAAATAGTCATAATGTTTGGTAATTGAAGATGGTGGTGAAAGTGCTTTTTTCCGGGTTGAGTTGCAGATTTAATTGTGGGTGATGTTGGGTGACATTTAATTCTGGGTTTTGGTTAAGTGAGACAGTTGGTGTTGGGTTGGTGGGTCACGTTTGAGAGAGAGAGAGAGAGAGAGAGAGAGAGAGAGAGAGAGAGAGAGAGAGAGAGAGAGAGAGAGAGAGAGAGAGAGAGAGAGAGAGAGAGAGAGAGAGAGAGAGAGAGAGAGAGAGAGAGAGAGAGAGAGAGAGAGAGTAAAGTCGTGTTGTGAAATTTGGTGAAAACATATGCCGAAGAGCTAAACTTTTGGTGCACTCTGCCTTGTGGTAGGGGGCTCTCATAATGTTTCACGAGTTATATTTAATCTTCGGACAAAACCGCGATACGACTTTTGTCTTGGATTGTATACACTACGGTCTTTCCCACCTGTGTTAGTGAGTGCGTGTGTGAGGTAAACTCTAGGGTCAATGCCACCCAGGTTTCAGTACCCGGACCTTTACTACCGCTTTGTAGGTTCAACCTAACCTAACCTAGCCTAAGCTCATCTCATCTCACCTCACCTCACCTAGCCTAAGCTCATCTAGCCTAACCGAATCTAACTTCACCTAACCTCACCTCAGCTGGCCTAGCCTCACCTCACATCACCTTACATCATCTCACCTTTTACGGTTAGGTTAGCTTAGCTTAGCTTAGCTTAGGTTAGGCTAGGTCGTGTAATATTGCTCGCCTGACGCGTCGTGTAGTATGGTTCACCTGACGCATCGTGTAGTATGGCTCACCTGACGCATCGTGTAGTATGGCTCACCTGACGCATCGTGTAGTATGGCTCACCTGACGCATCGTGTAGTATGGCTCACCTGACGCATCGTGTAGTATGGCTCACCTGACGCATCGTGTAGTATGGCTCACCTGACGCATCGTGTAGTATGGCTCACCTGACGCATCGTGGTGGCTCATTTGACGCACGAGTCAACCTGCCAACACGATACTTTGGGCACAACAAACATTGGGTACACATATGGGTCAAGATGTGAACACTGTTGATAGGTGTGTGTGTGTGTGTGTGTGAAGGAGCAGAGACGTCAGGTAACCCTTAGGTACTTCTCTTTAACTCCCAAGTACCAATTAGAGGGAGGAGGAGGAGGAGGAGGAGGAGGAGGGAGAGGGAGGGAGGGAGGGAGAGGGAGAGGAGGAGGAAGAAATAGGAATGTTTTGTTAGGCAGGATTAAGGGAGAAGGAGGAGGTTACCGGACAGGTTTAATGGCACTAATAATGATCTTAGTAACTTCGTTGGGTCATTAAAGACGGTGTTGTACTCATCACTAAACAAGAGTGATGGCCATTTTGGGTAAGAGAGAGAGAGAGAGAGAAAGGCTGCGTAACTAAGGTATAATACGTTCATAGGTAAGACATGTAAAGAATATGGTTATCACAGGGTTATATAATATGAAGGATTACTGTACTAGGTTGCGGGGCGGGGCGGGGCGGGGCGGGGCGGGGAAGTTCGGCATTGAGTAAAAAGATAGAACACAGGTTGGGATGAGGCGAGGCGGGGCAATGAGGGTGGGGAGGAGGGGCGAGGCGGGGGAAGGACGGGTGGGATGGGACCTCACTCGCAATACATGTAAATCGAAATTCGGTTTGTCGTGAATTTTAGTGACGAGATTATGTGAGTGAGACGCCTCTTGCCTTCTCACCTCATTACTCCTCTTCTTCTCTTCTTTTATTTTTCGCCACCCTCCTCCTCTTCTCCTCCTCCTCCTCCTCCTCCTCCTCCTCTTCCTCTTCTTTTCCTCCTTTCTCATCTTCTCCTCCCTCTTCTTCTATCTTCTTCTCCCTCTTCTTCTCCTTCCTTTTTTCTCTCCTCTTCTCCCTTCCCCTCTCCTCACTCCTCTTCTCCTCCTCTTTGGTTGGTGAAGGATGAGGATGTCCCTGTAAGAGAGACTTATCCTCCCCTACTTCCCCTACCCTCCCCTACCATACCCTCCCTACCATACCCCCACCCTCCCACCATACCCCCCCCCTACCATACCCCCTACCATACCACTCCCATACACCACCATACCATACCCTACCCTCCCCTACCATACCCTCCCCTACCATACCCCACCATACCCCACCATACCCCACCCTCCCCTACCATCCTCATAGCCACACACAAGGCATCATGTTACTTGTTTGGGTCATGACAGTGATATCTTGTTATACTGGACTGTTGGGGTGAATGCATTTATTTAATCCTGTGGTAATGTTGTTGTTCGTACTTGTTGTAGTTGTGGTAGTATTGTTTTTTTATATGACCTTCAACGTCCCCTTATTGCCATACCTTCTCTACACTCTACTACCTAACTCTCCTAGTACAAACATAACTACCCTAGCTGAGTTACTGTAGTTAAGCCACAGATCTATATGTGGCATTCGGTGATTGTTGCGTCATAGTCCACGTCTGCAACTATTGTTAGTTTAGGGGTTGAAGATCTTGTTTCCTTGATACACAGCAGAACAGAGCTGAGCAAAGAGAATGATAGGTGACACCTCAACCAGGCCACGATGTAACTTCTAGGTTGCTGATTCTCTTCTATTAACACCTCAGCCAGTCTGGCGTAGAAGCACCGTGTACTAGGTCCCATCCCACCCAATGTTGTAAGCACCAAAAGAGTGAAACTGCCTTGGTCCACGTTCTGGATTCTCTTTAAATACTCTGTTATTTTTGTTCTCGTTCCTCCTGTGTGCAGCATCGAGAGTTAGGTCATGGTGACATGCTGCCAGGGGATCTAATATCCTGTTAACAAAGAAGGCTTGCTGTCTCATCGTCCAGAATCCTCGAGCACTGACATCCACACGGGCTTCGTTAGTTGTGTTGGCAGTCCGGTGAAGGAAACACACTATCCAGTGGGAAAAGGGTCGGGTTAGCTGTGAGATCCCTTTCTTTGCCATGCCTCATGCAAACGAAGCCTCCTTTCTTGCACACCATGGCGGGTTATTATCGTTTGTTAAGGCTGAAGCTCTTTGCCCTTATCGGTAAAGTTGTTAGCCAGTTCGAGGCGTCCACCTCCTGTGCTACATTTATTTTCCTCTTCTATTTTTCGGACTGTTGTTGCGTTCTGTCGAAATGGAGCGTCGAATTTTGTTAATTCATTGGTGTCTAGCCTCACTTGCCTCATTTTGAGCTACAGGTGCTCAGTGAGGGCTGCCGTGAGCTCAGCAGAGTTCTGAAATTCAGTGGCAGCAAGCTCCTCCGGGTTAGTGAGTTCCATCCCTCCCAGTCTCGGTGGGAGTGCAAGAAAGGACCTTCCTGCTGGGGTTAGGCGGGGGCTTTTCTCTAGTGTTGGAATGAAAGAGTTCCTGATGACTTCTTCTAGAAGAAGGAGGCATACTATTTCAGGAATAGTGTGCATCAGGTAGTTACAGCACATTTGACTTCGTGGGTGAATGCCGCATACGCCGCGTGTGGCTCGGTATTAGCAATTTCTGACAGAGCTTGGAGTTCCTTCACCCACTCGTTTACCTTTCCCGTTACGTACTCGGCCTTGAAATCATTCACACCGATCACCGCACCTAGGTGTCTTTGGCCGACCTTTGTTATTTTGACCTCCCTACCATTGAAGATCTGAATGGCCCCGTCGAAGTATTCTGGCTTTACAATGAGAAAAGACTTGATAGCATTTGGGTGGTACCATGTTTGTGGACCACACAACGGTACCAAGTCCCGCTATATTTTTTTTTTTTTTTACATCCTCCTTTTTTCTTGCTCCTGTGAGGTCATCACTGTATGCTACCTGTTTGACTTTGGTATTTCCATAACTTAATGTATGTTGGAGCACAGATAGGCCTCGCGCATATATTGCTATGGCGATTGGGTCTCCTGAGGTGTTCCCTCCGTTGGCTGTATGGCGGTATCTCCTCTTAGATCCTCAAAGTGGGTTATATAGAGGTCTGGCGGGTTCCTGTAGGTATTTTCAACATAATTTGCGAAGCTTGGACACGTGATCTTGAAATTGTGTAGCGTAGCCTTGCGGTTGATTATATTGGAGGTATTGTAGGC